TTGAAGACTCTGCATGCATCTAAGGTAAAGAGATTTAGACTAATTGCATTGGCAAAGGAAATCTCAAGACAGCCTAGTATAGACTCTGTCATGTGGTCCACATCTATGGAGAGTGTTTTGCAAATGAAGCAAGCTGTGCAAGAAAAAATACAAAACATATGGTTTGAGGATTAAAGGGGTGCCAGGTGTCACGCCCACCTCGCCAGCAAGGATGACGCAACAACAGGATCCTTCCTCACGCACTTTATTGGGGAACACACCATTGATTGTAAAGACCCCGAAGCCCCAAATGGGTGCTGCTTAAATAGTTATCACAACTGTGTATAAGTGTCTAATTGGTGCTTCTTGCAGAACTTCATTTACATACTGCTCGGGAGGGTGAAGAGCTGCGTCTGAAAGATATGCATGCTCACAGCAGGTGTTTACGACCCTGAATACAGTTGTTTTCCACCTCAGAGACAGGAAACAGGCGCCATCTTCTAATGGCGGCTCCTTACAGCCAGGAAGTGGAATGGAGCTAAATCCCACATTCAAGGTGATAAGCAGATTAAAGATAATGCATGAAATGAAGGGAGTGGTGATCCTGGTGCAAGATCCCACCCAGCTAAGCTTCCATCTTTTTAAAAGGGGATATTACCATCTATTCTAAACTTATCATGTGATTTGAAGAGCAATAGTTAAGTGTTATTACAACCTGATATTTGTTTTAATTTGGAGATACGATTGTGTGTCAAGTTGACAAGAGATAGATTCTAATGGCTATTCTAGGTTATCAACTTGACTATATCTGGAATGAACTACAATCCAAAATTGGAGGGCTCACCTGTGATTCAGGCAGGAAGAGAATGTGCCTTTGATCCCAATCTCTAGTCTAGAAGACACAGGCTTTTGATCTGGATATTGAGGTGGGATGACACACACTTTTGATCCCAATTGGCAAAGTCTTTAATCAAAATCTTAAGTCATAGTGGCCATATTTATAAAGATCTATTAAAGAAAAGCTTAGGTCCAGGCATGGTGGCACACATCCTTAATCTCATCACTCAGGAGACAGAGGCAAGTATATCTCTGAGTTCAAGGCTAGCCTGGTCTATAGCGTGAGTTCCAGCACAGCCAGGGCTACACAGAGAAACCCTATCTTGAAAAACAGTAAGCAAACAAACAAATAAATAGCATGTGTGGAATGAGCTTGGCAATAGTAGAAAGAATCACAAACCCCTTCCAATTTCACCAATTTTCTTGCTAATTTTCTTTTTGCTTTTTTTTTTTTTTCTTTTTTTGTTTTTTTGAGACAGGGTTTCTCTGTGTAACCCTGGTTGTCCTGGAACTCACTTTGTAGAGCAGGCTGGCCTTGAACTCAAAAATCCGCCTGCCTCTGCCTCCCAAGTGCTGGGATTAAAGGCATGTGCCACCACTGCCTGGTTTATTTTTTCTTTACTGTTGAGAAATATTTGACTGTGTCTATGTGTCTTAGGGTTTCATTTCTGTGAAGAGACACCATGACCATAGCAACTCTTATAAAACATTTCATTGAGGCTGGCTTACAGTTATCATCATAGTGGAAAGCAAGGCAGTGTGCAGGCAGGCATGATGCTGCAGAAGGGGCTGAGAGTTCTACATCTTGAAGGCAGGAGGAGACTGTGTGCCACACTGTCTTGTAGCTTAAGCATAAGAGACCTCAAAGCCCACCCTCACAGTGACACACTTCCACCAAGGCCACACCCACTCCAACAAGGCCACACCTCCTAATAGTGCCATTCCCTATTGGCCAAGCATTCAAATATGTGAGTCAAACCTATTCAGATCACCACAAGGAGTTATGTCATTGGTATTTGTGGTGATAGCCATTCTGACTGGTTAACTTTTTTTTTCAAATTAATGTTATTTTTAATGATGGTTCTTAAATACTTTAACCTTCCTTGTAACCCACCACCCACCAGAAGTTGTGGAAAGAAGGATATGGAGAAGTGGACTTGTTTAGAAAGGTTCTTTGGAGCAACTTCTGTGTTGTCTGCAAACCAGCAGTTCAGTTCACAGATCAACAGACAGCTGGATCCACTCACAAACACTTCACAGATACACCAGCAGTCCAGTTCAGTGAAGTCAGGTTAGCAACAGTGGTGACATGACCTAGCAGAGACAGCCAGGCCTCGGCCTCAGCTCAAGTCAGCAGGAGAGATTAGCAGGAACACCAGAAGTTCTTGGCTGTGGCTCTCTCAGGAAAGCGAAGATCAGCAAAGATGGGAGACTCACAAGCATTGTACAGCTAGCTCTATAGGCAAGCCTAGCTCTGCCCTCATCACTGTCCTGTTATACCCTCCAAACACCACATGTCCTCCACATGCCTTGCCTCAGCACTTGTCTTGTCTCAGCACGTGCATCCCATCAGCCTTGGAAGCGGCATCAAACTGCACTACACCACCAGAAGTTTTTCGGTGTGTTTCTCTCTATGGCGTCCTGACAAATGCAGCTCAACTATGCAATATAAGGTGGACCAATACATGCATGTCAACAGCAAAGGATCTTTTACCCCATGTCCTTTCCCGTGCTTGCTTTAGTAGAACATCCTCTCTTCTGTGTCTGTCTCAGCGAAAGGTTTCTTCACGAGTCTGCCTTAGCCTTTCATATCTGTGTCCACTTCAGCTAAATGTTCCTTCATGTGTTCACCCCAGCAAAATACCAACTGACTTTCCAAAGAACCCTTAAGTTTCTACTTCAGACTGGGGTGAAATGGAGTCCTTCCTTCCTTCCTTCCTTCCTTCCTTCCTTCCTTCCTTCCTTCC